AATGACTCGCACCTAACAACAACAACGTACTTAACCATAGCTGTTGACAGAAAATTTCATTTGGCTTAGCACTAGGGTGACCAGATGGTCCCAGTTTGCCTGGGAGTTTACCAAGTTTAGTTCAGAAATCTTTCATTCCAGGGAACCCCTCAGTCCCGGCCAAACCTTGGAGATTGGTCCCTCTGTTTCATGGTCTTACAGTCACTTTCTCATAACCTTTCATTGTTTTGATGGGCTCCTTAACTGACAGATTGTAAAAGCTGGTAGGGGCTACATGTAGCAGCACTATTTTCTGTCCTGGCTGGATGTTACTACTTCCATTCTGCCTCTTTACTGGTTTTAAGACCTTGACTTGATTTGCTTGACTATCTCAAAAGTGGGACTGGAAGCCCTACATGTTAAATCCCTGATGCAGCAGCAAGAGAGATTAGGGTGGGAGTAGTGGACAGGAGGGCACACATACCCTATTCACTTACTGTGCAGGTCAGATTCCATCAGAATCTTTTGCAAAACTTTTAGTCAGCACAAGGGGACTAAAGATTGGAATAACTGCTAGGGATGATTTATCATAAAATAAACATTGGTGAAAAACTAGAATTTCTCTCATAGTTTTGAGATGGATAAACTTCTGATTTTGAAAAAGGAATAAAGGTGTTTATACCATGAAAATCAATGCTGTAAATTGTGCTGTGTTTTTTTTTTTTTTTCCCTTTTTTGTCTCCAGTCAAAATATGATGAACTTAAAAAATCAGAAAAGGGAAGTAAACAGCAACATAAAGTTCATAAATATATCACATCATGTGAGATGGTGATGGCTCCTGTTCATGAAGCAGTGGTCTCCTTGCACATTTCCAAAGTCTGGGATGACATCAGCCCTCAATTCTATGCCACATTCTGGTCATTGACAATGTATGACCTTGCAGTTCCACAAACCAGCTATGAAAGAGAAGTCAATAAACTTAAAATCCAGATGAAAGCAATTGATGACAATCAGGAAATGGTAGGTTTTTATTCTAGCAGCTCAGATACAATAACTGCATTGCCACTCATGCTTGGAAATTGTTTTAGTTCAGGTTTGTTGAAGCTATATTGTTACTAGGTAACATTTTCTTAAGTAGGTTGATGATAAACTTTCAGTGGATAGTGGTGGGGAGGACGTGGTGAATGAATGTGGATTTTGATGATTATAAAGGTATTTGAGTTTGCTTTTCTACTGAAGACTGTGTTAGCAACTTAAAGTGATCTTTGTGACTCCAGTTGCAATAGCAGGAGTTCTCTTTAGGAGAAGGCTTTATTGAAGAGGTGGGTCTTGAGCTGGGTAAGTCTTGGAGATAGATTTGGATTAAAAACCAGTCCGACTGCCATTGAACTTATTTTGACTCATAGTAACCCTACAGGACAGAGTAGAACTGCTTGATAGGGATTTCAAGGCTGTAAATCTTTATAGCAGTAGATTGCCTCATCTTCCTCCCACTGAGCAGCTGGTGGGTTGGAATTGCTGACCTTTTGGTCAGCAGCCGAATGCTTTAACCAATGGTACTTTAAAAAGATTACTCATGGCCACAGTATAAAGGATGCATTTGATAGGGAGGTAAACTAGCATTAGACCTGGCTTTTGGGGTAATTGAGTGTGAGGTACTGAGAGCATAGACTACAGAGGAGATAATGGGAATGCATAATTAGATTTATAAACAATTGGGATATAAGAATGAAGGAGGAGGAGTCAAAGACGAATCCATGTCTAAGACTAATATAGTTCCAGTGTTGGGAAGGTAGTCTGTTTTGATGGGGTACAAAGATTGACTGACTGTTTTGAATGGAAGTGAAAGCACATCCAGGTAGACCTTTTGTGTATCCTCGTTGAAGTAATCATGAATTTTTAGCATTTATCTGTTTTTAAAACCTTTCAATAAAAAAGGAAGGTAATTCCATATATTTAGAAAAGAATCTAACTTACACCTTGCAGCCTCCAAATAAAAAGAAAAAAGAGAAGGAGCGCTGTACCGCCCTTCAGGACAAGCTTCTTGAAGAAGAAAAGAAACAAATGGAACATGTACAGCGAGTTCTACAAAGACTGAAGCTGGAAAAGGACAACTGGCTTTTAGCAAGTAGGTTTTTAGAATTGCTGCATTCCTACTACTGCTAAATTACAAAAACAAAATCTTTGTAACTTTGCAGGTGTTGAAGTGTATTATGTTTATATTTCAGCTTGGTATTCACAATCCTATTCCTTGGTTATTTATTAATACAGAATCAACTTTACCTGTTGTAACTATAATATTGGTAGCTTATTACTCAACTCTTCTGTATATAATCTAATTTCTGGAGAAATTACAGATAGAAAAATACACAGAGTAAAAATGAAAATGTTATCCCAGGCATGACCTTTTGGTACAAATTATAGTTTGTGTATTAAAGTTAATATGTTGTCTTGTTTAGTGGCCTCAGGCACTTG